CATATTATTCTGCTAGTCAGCAAAGGATTTCGTAAGAAGCCTCCATTTGTTTGAAGGACCATTCTGCGTCCCAGGAGAGAGAGAAACCATTGCCTTTAGTGGTACCTGAGCTCCCTATGATGGCCAGCATCTGCCCACTTCTCACTCTGAAGTTCAGGTTTTGGATGCCCAGCTCACAGGAATCTTGGCTGTGGCGAGATGTCCAGGGCATCTTGAACTGATCCAGCCGCTCAAACCAAGACAGCTGGGAGGACATTTTCACCTGTGGGGAGACATTGGAAGGTTCCTTAGGGAGATGAATGGCTCAGAGAGCTTCAGCAACTTCTGTTCAGCTCCCCTGTGCCGTGGATGGGCCCCTCTCCACAGAGGACATCCCCCTGCTGAATCACAGGCCTGAGGTGCCCCCATCCGGATTCTACCAAACACAGAGTCTGGCCCCCACCCTATGCTGGCAACCTAAGGTGCTGTTTCCAAGTCTGAAAAGAAGGGGAATGGAAAGCACGGGCAATAGCAGAACAGAAATAAAAATACAACACGAAGCAAAATATCTTCACTTAATAATAGTTTATCAAGTGTTTACTATGTGCAAGACACGGTATTAATTACCTTACATCCGCTATCTCATTTAGTCTTCATTGTAAACCTATAACATAGGTACTATTAGAATCCCTGTTTTACATATGAGGCTCAGAGAAGTTAAGTAACTCTCTCAAGCTCACACAGCTAGTAAGTGGCAGAGCAGAGAAAGGTTATGGTGTGGTTCATTGGCTTGTCCTAACTCACACCCACAGGAAGCAGACTCAGGGCTCTGAGGTTCACCATCTCAGGCCCCACCATGTTCCATCTGAGCAAGGTGTGGTCTGCCCCTGAGGAGGTGTGGGAATAGGTCCTTGAATCTGACCAGGGGATTCCTGAAAGCTTCTGAAAGGCCAGTGTTTGTCCTTGCACTCTGGATATTTTATTAGCTCCAGGGAGAGTACATTTTATTTTTGAAAAAGGTATAAAAATTGATGAAATCTGAATAAAGTCTGCAGTTTAGTTAACGGCATTGTACATTGTTAATTTCTTAGTTTTGATAGTTATAATGTGGGTATGCAAGAAGTTAACATTAGGGAAAGTTGGACAAAAGTTATATGAGAATGCTGTATTATTTTTGCAACTTTTTCAAAAGTCTAAAATTATTTCCAAATATAAAGTTAAAAAGTGATCCAGAGATTTTTTCCCCATAGATTCACATAGTTTGCTTTATGTTTTCACAAGGGTCTCATTTTCTTTTTCTGCCTCTCAGCCTCCAGCCATATGTGTCATAAGTGACACATATTGAACCCAACACATGAGGCATCGACATGAACGGGGTGGAGGCCCCGCAGGGTGGGCTCACCCTTCCCCTACGCTTGGGGAATTTTCTCGCCTTCCCTGCCCACTTCTCTCCCCTTAATCCCAGGAATGCCTCTACCTGATAGCTGAGGTCTCTGACCTCCAGGGTGTTAGGCTGGCCACTGTAGGTGAAGTACAGGCTGTTGTCATTTTCAGAGGAGAACAAGCTATCCTGGAGGCTCTGCTGGGAGAGAAGAGAGGTGAAGGACTCACTTTTGGAAGCCACTGAGGACACAGGAGAAGACAGAAGGAGGGGACTGAGAGGTTAAGAGTGACTTCTTACAGCTGATGTGGCTGACATCTCAAATTGGCAAGAGAGGGGTTTGTGCAGGCGGAACCTGAGGCTTGGAGAAAATATGAGCACTGGTGAGGGCCCATCTCCGCTTCCCTTCAGAGAGAGCTTTGGGACTTCTCCCAGGACAGCTCTTGCCCCACAGAACCTCAGCCTCAAGCTGGTAGAGGCTGAACCCAAGCAGCTGATGGTAAATGAGACCCAGACTCTGGACTGGACAGAGAGTTTTGTGGGCCTCAGTGCTCTAGAAAGACCTGAGCTAGGAGCTGGCAAACCCTCGGACTTCATCATTCTCTTCCTGCATCTGGCTTAACATCTCCTGCTGCCAAACGGACATCGCATATGCAGCATGTGAGAGGAAAACAGCTACAAGTTAATGCTCAATACTTGTGAAGACACCATTCTGAGAAAAGTCATATCTTATTTTGATGAGGAATTTTGTGCAACAAAGCTATTGAAAATGCTGATGGAGCTGGGCACGGGGCTCACGCCTGTAATCCTAGCACTCTGGGAGGCCGAGGTGGGAGGATCCCTTGCGCCCAGGAGTTTGAGGTTGCAGTGAGCTGTGATGACACCTGTATGACAGAGCAAGAATTTGTCTCCAAAGGAAAGAAAAAAAAGAAAGAAAACTCTATTGGGAGAGTTCAGAAGAAGTCCCTGTCATCATCATCACCACCACCACGGTCATGATGTAGTTGTTATTGTCGACGTGGTACTATATTTGAATGTACGTCAAACGAGTCAATGTTTCATCGTATCAGCTGATACCTATGAATGGTATTAACCATCTACAGATCTGAATTCCTCCTATTTTAACAATTCAATCATTTAAATCATTGAGGCCCACACAAAGGAAGAACTTGACTAGGAAGGTTTCTGTTTTTTAACGCATTCAATTTTCTTTCATTTCTGTAGTGCAGGAACAAGTATATATTCATTAACAAGTTCCCATAGAGTTTTCCCCCACAGCTGCCATTCTCACACTGATGTGTCCCTGCAATCAACCCAGCACCCACTGGGAGCCCACAACATGCTGGAGTCTGGGATGAGACAGTGAGAAAGTCTTTGAGAAGCTTAGATTTCAGCGGATGAGACAGGTGGTTAGGACGTAGCCAAATAAGACAGGCATAGGGGCAGGCTGAGCTCAAGCATCTGACCAAAGTATCATTTCGCTGTATTCACAATGCACATTCATGCTTTGAGGTTCACCCAGAGGAGGGTGACTTACGCCTTACCTGCAAATAACACCTGGTAGTCTCCTCGTCAAAGTACCCCTGCAATGGTGGAGGTAAGAAGTCCTTGGAAAGGACATTCCAGACCAGTGGAGGTGGAGGGAAATAAATACAGGTGACAGTATGTGGCCAGCCTACTGTGGTAGCCCCCAGAGTTCTGGGAGTGTATGAAAAACAGCAGCCCAAAGCTACTGACATTGTTTAATATTTGAATTATCACCATAAAGATCTCAAATTATACAGAAAAAAATATGGGGAAGATAAACACTTATTTGGCCCCTCAGGAGAGGGGTTATCTCTGGGGAGCGGAGAGACATGTAAGGGGAGAGGGGAACACAAAGAGGGGACAGGGTGCAGGCTTCAAAGTTTTTGGTAATTAGTGGTGGGTACATGGGAGTTCACTATTCTTTACATTGACTTGTCTGAAATATTTCACAACATGTTTTCAAATTGAGAGAGCAAGCCAGTGAACGCGAGTTCTCTGAACTCTCGCCCACTTCTACCCCCAGCTGCCGATTCCCCAAAGCAGGAGGGAGAGGTGGCGAGAGGAGGGGAGAGGGTCTGCATCCTCTGAGACGGAGGATGATGCCCCAGGGAGATCAAGGCAACTTAGGTAGCTGCTGGCCTCTGGCAGTTCAGCCCTGAAGCCCCCTCCTCACTCACCATCCTCACCACCACTAGGCACACTGCCCAGTTCTTCCGTTTGACTCTGTTAAGTTATCAGAAATTCTATCAATTGCCAAGAGACTGACTGGGGTCAGCGTGCATCCTGTTGTCATCATTATTCTTACTTTTTAAAGCAAATATCTGCAAGAGGGATATTAGTCAGCTGGCATCATATATAAATGAACTCAGAAATGGCTTCTGCAGGTCAAAAGGTGGCCAGGTTGGATTTAGGGGTGGAGGAGCCGCTGAGGAAGGAAGGCCAGACATTTGGAGTCTGGAGTAACATGTGGAGGTGACCTCAAGCCCAGGTGGGTTCCACTGTGCTGTGCTTTGAGAACGGGAGGGCACTGGGGCCTGGGGGACAGAGGCAGGACAGAAGACAGGTAAGGGGAAGGATAGAGGTGCTGGGCTCCCTGTTCTGAGGCTCCCCCAGGCCCCTTCCCTGTGCTAGGTAGGCAGGTGTGGGCCAGCCCAGACCCCAGCCACCATGGAGGGACCGCACACGAGCTGCACAGGCAGCTCATCTTCTAGAAGAAAATTTGTGCCTGGATTGGGGACGACCTCTGTTCCATTTTAAAATATTTTCCTTGGCTCCCAGGAAGGGTTTGTTAGACTTTTCCTGAGGTTTTGACAAACTCTCTGTATTTTTCAAATACTTAAATATCTATTCGGCTGACACCTTAATCAGTATGACTGTCAGAACATCACTCGAATTTCTGACAGGTGACACCCAAAAAAGCAAAAGCAGGTTTATTTGTAGGTAACCAGCTCAGCTCCTGCTGGGCTACATTGTAATTTCTCCTCGTATTAACTTCTGATCAAATTCCTGAGTCAGAAGCACAGGAAAGAAGGAGCACAGAGCACAGGTTGCCCGTTCTGAGGTGAGGCGCCTGTACCCGGAGAGGGAGTGACATGCTGAGGACCCATGGTGTGGGGGTGGGGGGGACAGCGCTTGCTCCTGGTGGAGAGAACATTCCCACACAGCTCTCTGCATCAGGAGTCTGTGGGCCAAGGGCACTTGCCACTCCAGATACCAAGATGCCAGAGTCCCCAGTGCGAATGGCCCCAAGCCCAACCCCAGGGCCTGCGCCCCCTCCCAGGCCCGTCCTCCTGAGTGCCCCTGGACCAGAGGGGCAGGGGGCGGACCGCCCAGGGGTGCGTGACGGCCCCGTGCAGTGGGATGGGGCCAGGGGTGGGCAGAGAAGGAGGGCAGGTTGTGGCTTGGGCCAGAAGTGGCTCCCTGTGCCACCACATTCTGGCTGCCATTCCAAGAAGCCCTAGAATTTCTAAATTCACACCTGGCCTTCCAGGTTGTGAGGAAAGGATGTCAAAGTAAGAGGACAGAAACGATTTTATTTAACAGTTCTTCGCTCGACCGATAACTGTTAAATATCTAGACAGGATACGTGGTCCTCGTCCTAGTGCTCAAGCCCCACAGCCATTAGGGCCAGACCATCCCTGAGCACCTGGAGCAACAGGAGTGGGGAGAAGGAAACCGGGACTGGCAGGGCCCGCTCGTGTGTCTGGGGGTTGGGTTCTGGCAGTTCCCTGCCTCTGCGAGAGAGCCGTGGGGGCTGAACCGTCAGCCCTTCCAGGCACAAGTGTGCCCAAGCCCTGGGACTTTGTATCGTGTCCAGGCTGCAGGCTTGTCCCTGCAGGGGTTGGCCTCATGGGGGTGCTGGGAGAGCAGAGCCGGTCACTTGTGGTGGCTGCAGAACTGACCAGAAATCCTGGGCTCCTCAAAACTCATGGCCAGTCCTGGTGGCCTGTGGCCCTCCCTGGTAGGTGTGGGGTCCTCAGTCTGTCTCCTCTTTCTCTCCCTCTTCCTCCTCATGACAGGCCAGGCAGAAAGACAGGGCGGGGGGACCTGCTTCCCTCTGTCTTCCAATTCAGCTTCGAATGCAGTCACACCCTGATGTCCCCGGTGAGCCGTTCTCCGGTGAAACGAGGGAGGAAATCTTGTTCCTCCCCTTCCGGCCACCTGGCCGCCGTCTATCCCCTCCAGGGCCCCCCCCAGAGCCTGTGACTCCCGGCTAGACTCACATTCTGAGCATAAATTCTGACATTCCCGTAAAAGTCGTCCATCGTCCTGTCCCGCCATCATTTCGCTGTCACCAGGTTCTTAGCCTGACAGCCCCATGGAGGAAGGAGACGCCAGCGGAGTCCCTGCCATGTGGGAGCAGGTTTCTGTGATGGACTTTCACTTGGAAAAAGCCACATCAGCCCAGGCCACACACAGGGATATCCAGTTCCTGTGGAAGCGTGCCTGAGGCCAGGAGTGACCGGACCCTGCTCCCCTCAGCCTTCGACGCCAGGAGATGGAGTCCTGCCGCCGCCTTCTCGCTCTCCGTGTAACGCAGGTGGTGACAGGGGACGGAAAGCTCCTGTGGGAAGAGAAAGGTCTGACTGCTCCCCACCCCACCGGTGCCCCTGTCACTCACCGAAGCATTCTGGAGTGTGGCCGCCTTCTGTGGCTCCCTCTCCTCAGCCATGGGGCCCACGGGTCTGTGTCCCTTTGCTCCTTTGGACCCAGCTGCTCCCTGCGGGTGCCAGCGCAGCCTCTCTCTGCTTCCTAGAGCCGGGACGCCGCAGGCTGCCTCGCGGCGGCCTGTCCCGGCATTCCTCTCGGGCAGCCCGGCCGCCCACACGGCCCGCATTCTGCTTCCCCTTCAAGATAAGGACTCTCTGGCTAAAGGTTCATCAGATAATGGCATCTGTGGCCAAACCCCAGTTCTGCCTCCAGGACGGCCTCCCGAGGGACTCCAGGGCCAGGAGAGGAGCAGGCAGGGTCATCTGCCGCCAGCTCCTCGGCTGAAGCCACTCCAGGGAGGGACAGGTCACCAGAAAATTCGCTATCTTTGCTGCCTGCTGGCCATGAGTGACCTCCTATCTTTGGCGCCCAGGGGGTCCTCGGGCCTCTCAGTGAGCAGAGGCTCTGAGAGCTCTCTGGAGGAGGTTCCTGCTGCTGCTTCGGAGCCTCGGCACAGCCTGGGCATCTTCCGTGCCTCCTACAGCGTCAGGTAAGCCACATCCTCCCCCTCGAGGGCACTGAGGCCAGCGTGAGGCCTGGGCTCTCACCCTCTCTGCTGCCTCCGCTCACTCATGGGGGGACTGCCTGGGGGTTTCAGGCTCCCTCTTCAGTGGACCTCATGGGGAGAAGAGGAGGAAGTGCCTGGGAAATCAGGTGCAACAGTGAACGCCCCTCCTCCTGCCAGGCCAGGCCCGGCCCAGGCACAAGCAATGTGACAGCAGTGCCAACCTGCACCCCTGCCTCTTACACTCCCCGTTGCCCACCCCGTGTCTGTGGCTGCCCTGTGTGGATGCAGGGGCTTGGGGAATGGGGGTGCTGGGAACACGAGGGGTAATAAAGCCTGGGGAAGGATTGCAGGGTCAACCACCTCCCGGTCAGACAGAGAGGGGACATTCAGAGCAGCTGCAGGCCAGGCCCTCTCCACAGGTGATGGACAGCCTCCGCTGCTGCCCGTCAGGCTCTGCAGAGGAGGGCACTGAGGCTGAAACACATTAGGAACCTGTCCAGAGACAACCGGGGTGGGTGCAGATGGGATCAGAGCTGGGGGACCGGGGTCTGGCCTCTTCCAGACCACCATGCTGTCTTTGCCTTCCCGGGGTTTCCTTTAAAGCAATCGTGTCGGGCCCTGGTGGAACATCACATCGTGCCGGAAGAGGTGGAACAGGCAGATCCTCAAAGACGTCTCCTTGTACGTTGAGAGCGGGCAGATCATGTGCATTCTAGGGAGCTCAGGTAAGCTGGGAAGGAATTCTCTAAGTTCTCAGCGAAGGCTTCGGCTTGATCTACACCACAGTGAAGAAACAGGTTTAGGCTGTTGCAAGAAGCCTGCAAGTTTGATATCAGAATGAAATTTAATGACATGTCTGACTGTGAATGGAATCTGGGATCAATGTGAAATCTTTAGAAAGATCCTTGAAAGAGTATAAAACTCCACCTAATGAGTAAGTGAATTCGAATTTCCATGTATGGAAAGCCCCCTTGCACAGGGCCTAGCACTCAGGGGTGTTCAGTAAACAAAATTTCCCCTATCTGTGCCCTGCCTAGAGACAGGAAAAGGAATTAACTAAGCACAAAAATGCCCACTAAGCCCCCATGTTTTATTCTACTGGTCCTTTTTAAAATTATTTTTATTACTTCAAATATACTGTCAAGAATAGAAAATAATATAAAAAATGTACATGCATTAACATCAGGCCTTATCCAATCTTAACATTATAACATATTTGCTTCAGATCTTTTCCTTTCTTAAGGAATTAAACATTACAGATCATACTGAGACCATCAGTGTGCCCATTCCCCACATCGTCCTTCTCCTCTTTCCCAGGGTAACAACAGTTGAGGCTGCATTCAGAGTTGGTCTTTGTGTCCCAGCATCAGCCAGTCATTGCTGTGGAAGGGGATAGATTTTGGTGAGGCAGCTCCTCGTGACTGAGGACACTTTCCTGGGAGGGTCACAGCTGCGCATCCTCAGCAGCTGAGGAATGGGTGCTTTGGCCCTGAAGAGGGGATCTGTGTGGCACACCACAGTGTCCACTACACTGGGTGACCCTGCACATTTCAAGGTTAAAAGACTCTGGCAGATTAGCTTCACAAAAGCCTCTTGATGGAGCTGTTTCTCACAAATTGTTCACATTTACTGCCACCCACTCTCTACTTGCATTACTCTCTTCTGTAAAGATGGGGAATGTAAGTCTATGATAAAATGTAGGCAGGGGCTGGACACAGTGGCTCACACCTATAATCCCAGAAGTTTGGGAGGCCAAGGCACGAGAATTGCTTGAGGTCAGAAGTTTGATACCAGCCTGGGCAACACAGCAAAATCCTGTCTCTACAAATAATTAATAATAATAATAAGCCAGGCATGGTGGCATGCACCTGTAGTCCTACCTATTTGTGAAGCTGAGGAGGGAGGGTTGCTTGAGCCCAAGAGTTGGAAATTACAGTGAGCTATGATAGTGCCACTGCACTCTAGCCTGGGCAACAGAGTGAGACCCTGTCTCAAAAAAAAAATGTAGGCAGGATCAGCCTCTTTAGACCCAGGGAGTTAAAACCATGGCCATTCATCTGCTATAGTAGGTGCACAACTGTATGGCAATAGTAGTTGTTAAAATTAAATAAAAAGGAATTCCCTGGATATCTTAGTTCATTTGGGCTGCTAAAACAAAATACCATAAACTGGGTGGCTTATTAACAATAGAAATTTATTTCTCACAGTTCTAGAGGCTGGGAAGTCCAAGATCAGGGGACCAGCACATTCAACGTCCAGTGAGGGCCAGTTTCTTCGTAGCCTGCCATTTTCTCACCCTAACCTCAAATGACAGAAAGGGAGAGGTGTCTTTCTTGAAGCCCTTTTATTAGGACACTAATCCCAATCATGAGAGCCTCCCAAAATCTAATCACCTCCCAATACCACCTCCTAATATGCCTGAACTCCTAATACTAATACTTGGGAATAAAGATTTCAAGATATGAATTTGGGGGGGGGACATAAACATTCAGACCATAGCACTAACTAAAACTATTATACTTTTCTGAGATTTCCTGTCAGCCTTTATTTCCAATTTTTAAACAATTTCTAACTATACATATGTACCATAACATCCAGAGTCATTCTAATTTTCCTCTTGCTAAATATAATATACTCCTTTAAAAAGAAAACAAGCTGAGTTATCCCTGTAACAATTTGTCACTTATTGCAGACCTTATGTAGAATTAAATAGGGTGGCATGTAGCACCCTTCTCAGAAGCGTGTCCTACTTCTAAGAACAACAGGGAATTGAATCCACAGTCTCAGAGGTGTGTCCCTCAGGCCAGTGTCAGGCTTCATGTACATCTCTGCAGGACAGTGGGAGGGGCTGTTGATCTGGGGGTATGGGCTGGTTTTTGATGAGATACCTAGGTACAGTTTTATGACAATGTCTACCCTTTATACTGAACATGAATCCATAGTAGAATGCAAGTTCTACAAGGGCAGGGGCTTTGTCTTTTTTGTCTTTGTGGGGGGAGTGTTTGAGACAGGATCTCACTGCCTCAGCCTCCTGCATAGCTGAGACTATAGGAGGGCACCACCACGCCTGGCTAATTTTTCTGTCTTTTGTAGAGATGGGGTCTCACTCTTGTTCAGGCTGATCTCGAACTCCTGATGTCAAGCAATCCTCCTGCCTTGGCCTCCCAAAGTGCTAGGATTACAGGTGTGAGCCACTGTGACTTTTTTCCTGCTGTATCCTTAACACCTAGAACAGGGTCAATCACAGAGTAGGTACTTAGTAAATATTTGTTGAATAAATGAGGAAACAAATTAATTCCATGAATTACTTATAGTGTTTCATAAAATGACATGATTTCATTGGGGTCTTATCTCAAGTGGTATTGTCTATCAAATCTTTATTCCTGAGGCAAAAGATGACTTATGTGATCAAAGTCTCACTAGAGCATGGTCTAAAGTAAACCTGTCTAGAACCACCCAGCACTCCAGGGCAACTTACTTGACTCACTACTTGCTATCGAGTAGGGCCAAGACTGGAATGGGTGTTTCCTTGAAGATTGTTTAGCTACAAATGATTTCAGTCTTATTAGAGAAGGTAACCCCAAATATCATGGTTTTATTGCCCTTTATGGCATTAACCATTTTTGTGTCTAACTTTATTATGTTATTCCAACCCTCCTTTCTCCATTGACTATATGTATAAATTTCTCATATTCTTTTTTGAATGAGCTTTGTCATCTTGCTGTTTCTCTAATTAATGAGTTAATAAATATTTGACATATGTTTAAGATAACTGAATTAGTTATCTATTTCTATGTAAAAAAAAGAAAGTATCCCAAAACTTCGTGGCTTAAAACAACAAAACCATCATTAATTATTTTTCAGAATTTCTATGGGTTAGATTTGGAAGTGACTAGGTTGGGTAGTTCTGTCTTAGGGGACAAGAGGAAAATCCACTGTATTTGGCAACAATAAAGTATCCCGGAGGGGCGGAGTCCAGAGAGGGGGAGGGCATCGCATGGGGACGGCCAGGGTTCTGGGCCAGAACAGGATGGAAGTTGGAAATAAATGGAAGACCACCAGTAGCTATTGTTGGGGCTCAGAAAACAGTACCCTAAAATGAAGGCCTCAGTAGCAAAAGTTTTTCTCTGACTACCCATCACTCAGTCCCATTTTCCCGAGGCTAGCCATAGAAACTAGAATCCCTTTTCCCCAAGGCGGGTCATAGAAACTAGAACCCCTTTCCTCAAGGCCAGCCATAAAACCTAAAAATATTCTGTGTAACAACTGGCCACAAAGAAATCATCTGACCTACCTTGTCATAAGACCACCATTCCAGAGAGGGTCCTGCCCCATACCCAGAAGGAAAGAATGCATGCTGAGAGAGGCTGAGA